GCTCGCATGTGTTGTCACACATGTTACGCGCATGAGGACGGCGGTACGCAATATTTCGGTGAAAATGGGATGTATCCCGCGATATGTGATTACGCACCACGAGCGTGAAGTCTGGCAATTTTGGAATCTTATAGAATATTCTAACGAATCTCGAACAAGTAAATATTTAATATAATATAATATTATATTATATTGTAATATTATTATATTATATTATATTATTTTATAATTATATAATTATAATATAATTATATAATATAATTTATATAAGTAAATATTTTTTTAAACATACTTTTTACATTTAGAAGAAATTATTTACTTTTACAGTAAAAAGTCGTAAAACCGATATTATGGGTACCCCCAATATATATTAATATTACATTTTTTCCTTTCAATAAATATTTTTCTGGAAGTAAGAAACATTTTTTTTAATCAGTAAAATATATTAATTTCACTAAATTATTTAGCTAAGAGTATTGAAATCAATAATTTTTTTAATCAAATGAAATTTGTTTGGTTTTAATAAATATTTTTTTAATGCATGAATCATTAGCCAGTGAATTTTTTGAGTATTACTTTTTCGAAACTTTAACTTTCCCTGAATTTAAGATACTGGATTCTAATACACTGTAATTTTAAATCGTGAAATCGCATATCACTATTTGAGGATTATAAGTGAGAAATTTGAAATTCGTAGCTTCAGGAATTCCTTAATTAAGTAACGAATTTCACTATTCAAAGTTCGCACAATAAGTTCGAAGAATATCTTTAAATTTGAAATGTCGTCTGCATTTTTTTGCTTTTGAATCTTTGAGGTTGTGCTTCGAAGTTTGTAAATATAGTTGACATCTGCTATATGCGAGAGCGTGCAAACGACATTTCTTGGTTTAATATCATTTTGATAGACACGACCGATGTCGTTGTTTCATAGAGAGAAGTAAAACATATTATATGACAATAACTGTAACGTGTCGGTGCATTTTCGGTCGCACAATTGTGAATTCGAGTTTTACCGCAGAAATGTGCACGATGTTGCGCAAACTGTGTTAAGCTAAACAACGTTCCAAATTGAATGCGTTTTGGAAATTAGAATCGATATGGAGCGCGAGCGGTATAACGGCGAATTGCCACTAGCATTATATTAATTAATGGCAACGCATTTATTATGAATGCTTGATGTTCACAATGGATCTCGTATATGAGAAACTAATGCTATGCGACCGTTAGTGGAACACTTAAATGCGCGATAATTTAACAGGATGGATTCGGCTTTGGAAAATTACTCATTATTCTTCACGTTATCGTTATTCTTCACGTAACACTAGTCGATCTTTTGCAAAACCGATTGCTCACCACATGGACATTTTTTATGGCCCTATGATTTTTATTCCCATGATTTCCGACTAAGAATCATTATTTGTTCCGTACTTCGTAATTTTTACAAACAACCGTTTGCTTCTCGGTTACCGAAGCTTTATAATATATTTCTTCATATATATTTCGCATATTACCTTGAAACTTAAGAAATTACCATATGCTTTGATTAAATATCACTATTAAGTTTATTAAAATAATTGGAAAAATTTTTACGAGAGATTATTATATGATTAATTACAACTGAATTAATATACGCATGCTTTTTTTCAAAATGAATCTCCAATGTCCTCAAGAAAAATCGTCAACCATTCATTAACTCGGGAATAGTCATCTTATTTTTTTTTTACGCAAATCTCCTAAGATCATTTTGACCCCAATTACGAGGGTGGATTAAATATAAACGAGACTTTTTAAATTGCGCGCCTATCGGCGGCGTGAGCGGTCTACAACGTTTTGGTAAGTGGAGGGGTCATATGGAAGACAGTAATAACGTTGGCGCACCACGTGCTTCTTACTCTCAGCAGCAATCGCGATGAGCGAAAAAGAGGTACACTCCGCAGTTGCACAACGTGTTATTAAGTTTCTCGTCAACGAAAATGTAAATGCTGCTGAAATTCGGCGACGTTTACTCCCACAGTTCGGGGAAAGAACCGTTTCATGGGCTCGGGTGAAGCAGTGATGTAACGAATTTAAAAAAGGACGGGAGTGTGTTGAAAACATTGTCCACCCGCGCCGTCCCCGCACAGGTATTACAGCGCAAAACACCGAGACTGTTCGAGAAGGCTCATCGAAGGCGATCGGCATTTAACTATTCTTGAAATCTCTCAGGAACTTCAGATTAGCTATGGAAGTATGCAATCAATCATTACGAATACTTCCATAGCTGATCTGAAGTTCCTGAGAGGAATTTCGAAAAGTGTCGGCTCGTTGGGTTCCAAAGTTGCTGAATGCAGAAATTGGCAAAAATTGGCCGATATGAACTGGGCTGTCCTAGAACATCCACTCTACAGCCCAGACCTGTCACCATGCGACTTCCATATGTTTGGGTCACTCAAGGAATCTCTTGGTGGACAGCGCTTCACAACAAACGAGGAGGTGCAGCAGTTCGTGTGCAATTGGTTTGATACACGTCCGCGAACTTTTTATGATACCGGGATTAAAAAATTACCAGACCGTTGGAGGAAGTGTATAAATAAGATGGGGGACTATGCAGAAAAATAAGAAAAATGTAAATTAGAATTAATTTTGAAAAATATATGGTTTTTTGCAAAAGGCTCGTTTATATTTGATCCACCATCGTAAAAACCATTATTATTAACAAAATATAGCATATTATCGATTGCTCTTTGATTTATTATTATTTAGGGACGTTATAAATACAGATTTACTCGTTATTCCTTTGAAGAAATGAGCATAAACCAAAAAATATTTAAAAATCGGAATAAGCACATCAAGTGGTTTATTATGACAGTATTTCTGACAAATGAAGATATCAATTTAAAAAAGGGCTGTTTTATTGTTCATTTTCGATGGAATAAGTTATTTCAAGGTTCGTAAATAATGATTATTAAAAATGATTCAAAATATATTTAAAAACATTCATTTTATAAGAATGCAAAGTAAGGCTATATCGCCGTCCTACAAAGTTATCAATATTGATTTAGGATTGTAAAAAATTATTAATTTTTATATTTCTTCATTGTATTATATAAATATATATAGCATAAATATAAATAATATTTAACATAATCAATATTTTTAAACAAAAAAAAGTTATAATTTTTTAAGAATATAGATTTTTCTTTTGGTTAACATTAAATAAAAGTATAATTTAAGATATTCATTTCATTTATAATAAATGTTAATGTTAATTATATATATTAATTACAAACAATAAATATGAATATAAGATATTTAATGATAGCACTTTTGTCTGTTTTTCTGGACATTTTTATCAGTTAGTATCAGATGTAATATAAATATTGCTTAATGTTTAGTGGGTTTGGGTACATGTAACTTCATTCAAACTTATTGTCATCTTCATAATACGAATTTTTGCTATACTTGACTAATTTTATAACATAAACGATCACCTGCAGTCGTTACCTCAATGTGTTTTTAAGAATTTATACTATGAATAAGACGAGTCACAGCCTGTTCTTGTTGCACAGATTAGGTCTCTAAATGTCCAAATGAAAGATACATATTGGTTCCCGATTAGTAAAAAAAATCCTCTGTGACGTGACTTCACTTTCTCGAGAATTTTCTGACCGCTGGAGTATGAAATGATGCTAGGTGATTATTCTCGGGTTAATCATATTATCAAAAATCTTTCAATTTTAGCATCTCTTAAAAAGTTTTTTAAAGAAAGCCAAACTTCAAAAGTTTTTTTTTGCAACATTCAACACAATCAGAATCATCATATAGATCCTCAAACACTATACCAAAGTCTTTTTGGAATCCCCACAAAACATCACAAGCCATTAATCTGACCATATCATTCCACATTGTCGGAAACACTCGAATAGTATCGTCTGGAAAATTTTTTTCGAGAAGACTATCATTCTTTCCCTTCGTCGCCCGCTGGTCGAACGAACACTGACGAGTATCCGAGGTGAGTGTCCAAGTATCGAACGGTGTGAGCACGATGTCGACGCGGTACGCCGAAAACAGTCAAAGCGACGCGAGCGCATGCGAAGCGGACTCTGGGTCAGATTACGTGGGTCAATCGCCGAGGTCGTTAACACCGCGGGAGACCGAACTCAGCTCTCTTGTTACCCAAGGTACATATAGCAGAAAATAACAATTTTGGATGATCTGAAGGATCGACTCGACGGTTTCAAGAATTCCGTAAAATTATAACTTTATTAATAAGCCACGTTCATCTATCTGTTTGTCTGCTTATCTTTTCGTCTGCGCTTCACTTTCTCGGCAATTTTTAACCCTACTTACTATTCAAGCCAAGAGCATTGATTGATAAGCGAACGAAATTCAATGGTGGTAAAAGGAAGATATAAGACACCGGAAGGCGTCGCTACAGATCTATGGGAAAGGATTGATTACAGAATTAAAATCTAGTATTAAGATTCTTTTATTTTTGTAATTGGCACTTCACCGTACTTGCGAGAGTCGGAAGGAGTACATGGACCGCGCCGACGGATGTGGAGAATGGAAAAATAATCAGTATTCGGCAAGACGCCATAAAGGGAGCAGCGAATCCTGCGACCGCTTATGAGCTGCGAAGCGGCGCGCGCAACGATGGCCGTGCAGGAGCGTCGCCGAGAACATCTGCTGCTATTTTTTCGAAAGGGCGCGCATGTTGTAAAGCTGGCTTCGCGAAAGAAAAGCCGGAAAAAGGCTCAAGAGAACTCCGAAAAGGAGAAGAAGATGATCCGAGGGATCGCTCATCGAGGATCCCCGTAGGCGAAAGGATTCGAGAAAGGATATCCGGAGAATTAAGACGGCGATGCGAAACTTAACATGCGTTACGGCGCCTGGTCACGTTTCGAAAACATCGCGACGCGTGACGTCCTATCATGAGATAATTGATCCGCGTCACTCCGCGTGTTATATAAGGAGGATCGCGGTCGATGCAGATTCGAAGGTAAATCCTTCGTGTACTTTTGCGTCTCGATCGCAGCCGCGTTACCACGAATGCCGACGCCGAATCGGTAAGGTTGCTTTTTTTTATTGTACTACCGCGAACCTGCGTAGAGCCGAGTCGTTTATTGACGAGGCTAGTCGCCTCGATATTTAGTGTTTAGAGTATCGTTCTTTCACGTTCGGATACCGTGGGTGCCGAACAATCGGAATCCAGCGAACGCTGGAATTTCATTGCTCCGCTTATTGTAGGCTGAAGGCTATTGGAGACAATCCCGAACTCTGACGGGATCAGCGCGCCACTCAAAAGGAACTAAAATAATCGGTAATGCAGTTTTTGATACAGTTTTGATAATACTGCTATACCGATACCATATAGAAGCAAAGAAACGTGTTTACGATTTAGGGTTAGCAAATCTGTCATTTCGAGGTGACTTAATCTCAGCTAACCATGCACTGACCTATAAAAATATAGGTGAATATGTACATAATAATTAATATTTATAATAAATATCACATTCTACAACTTTATAATTCCTGCATTTTGCAAAGCGATTACAATATATTCGGCATTTACAAATGTTAGAAATTATATGTGGCATATTATTATACAATATTTTGCCTTCTAAATGTTATGTAGTATTGTAAAAGAGATTAACGACGATACTTGCATTAAAATAAGTACCACATGAAGACTTTGCTTTTTTTTATGTAACGGATTAATTTTAAACTGTGTAAATAAATATTTTGTTGTGATCTTATAAGTACTTTATACATCACAGCGGAGTCCTTTGTGAAAATATATTTTTATAATAAATAGTTCACGTTAAACAAAATGATGTAGTAATGAAAACAAGTAGATTTCATATCTGAATTACTACTTCTACTTTCAATAGTCTTATAATATCTCCATACATAAGAGCAAGCTATTATGTGTAATTGTCTGTTATTGCAATAACCAATTCACATCATTCTAGATATTCCTGGCACTCTATATTATTGAAAGCAAGCAGATTTCATATCTGAATTATTTATTGCTTCGCTTTCAATAATTTTGAAATATCTCCATACATGACAGCGAGTTCCTACATGTCATTGCCTACTGTTGTAATAACCAGTTCACATCATGCAAAATGCTCCTTTATATTATATTATTCAAAGCAAGCAGATTTCATGTTTGAATTATTACCATCACTTTAAATAATTTCATAATATTTTTATATATGATAATAAACTCTTATATGTCATTGCATACTATTGCAATAACCATTTCATATGATATTTACATTCCACATTATTGAAAGCAAGTAGATTTTATATCTCATTTGCTACCTCTGCTTTTATTAATCGCATTAAAACAATTACAGCGAGCTGTTGTTTATCATTGTATACTATTGCAATCACAAGTTGATATCTCAAGCTTATATTATTTCTAATCTTTTATGTTGCATATTTATACATATCTACAACATTAATTGATAGGTTTTAATAATCAATGTGTGACATTAGATCATAGTGCAAAGAACACGATTTTTTATTGCATTGAAGATGTCAGGTTTTGTGCCAAAAAAGAGTATTTGCGGGAAGCATTACTTTTCTGGTTTCATCTTGACACATTGCGGACCGCTAAGAAATCTGTGAGACATACGCCTGGGACCGCACGTTTTTGGGCAAACTTGCACGTTACTAAAATCGTCATAACATTTTTATTGATGAAGCAATGTTTGTCAAACTTTCAGAAATTGTAAAATAGGACGCATTTTAGGTATTATTGGAAAAAAATATGTTTTTTAATAATTATCATAACTTTTTTTACTTGAAAATAAATTTTTACGAATTTTTTAAAAATTGTAAAATAGGATGCATTTTAGGTATTATTAAAAAAATTGTTTTTTAATAATTATCATAACGTTTTTATTTAAAAATCAATTTTAAACCAAAGTTACTAGTACTTTTTTGACACATTGTTGACTGGCAATTTTACTTAAAATTTATTTCATGTCACCGGCTATTATTTCGTAATTGGATGTGGAAGTGAAACAACATAAATAAACTTCAATAAATTTGATTTAATATTTAACTTTTAATATTTCTTTTTGGTATGATAAACAGTGTAGCAATCACCTACGTGTAATGGTACACAACAGGTTTTGCAAATGTATCTTGTTTCGATCGCGCAAATATATCTTGCATCGATTACGAGTTTACTCGTGCCCGGTCAGCAACGTTTGAGCAGGAAGACACGAGTTAACTCATGATCGGTCAACAATGTGTTAAGAAATCTACTGCTAAAAGTCATTGTTTACTAGTGGAAACTTATGAGGAGCATGCTCTATCTGAAACAATTTGCAGAGATTATTTTAGACGATTCAAAGACAACGATTTTGACGTGAATGATAAAGAGCGCCCTGGTCAGACAAAAAAGTTTGAAGATGGAGAATTGGAGGTATTACTGGAAGAAGATTCATGTCAGGCGCTCAAAGAGTTATCGGAAACACTAAATATCGATGAATCAACCGTTTGTAAACGTTTAAAAGCAATGGGAATGATCCAGAAGCTAGGAAACTAGATCCCACATGAATTGAGAGAAAGAGATAGTGCGAAACGTTAAACCATTTGTGAATTGCTGCTTCAAAGATAAAAACGGAAGTGGTTTATACATCAAATTGTGACTGGTGATGGAAAATGGATTTATTACGACAATCCTAAGAGCAAGAAGTCATTGGTGCGTCCCGGTGAACCATCAACATTAACACCAAAACAGAATATTCATGGAAAGATGGTCATGCTGTGCATTTGGTGGGATCAAGTCGGTGTAGTGTATTATGAGCTGCTACAACTGAGTCAAACCATCAATGCTGAACGCTACCGACGATAATTATTCAATTTGAATCGAGCACTTAAAGAAAAATGTCCGCAATACGCCAAAAGACATGACAAAATTATTCTTCTCCATAACAATGCTAGACCACATGTTGCAACACCAGTGTAGGAAATGTTGAAGGTACATGGATGGGATGTCTTACCCCACCCGCCCAGACGTTGCTCCTTCAGATTACCATAGGTTTCGGTCGATGTAGCATGACCTTTCTGAGCAACACTTCAGTTCTTTCGAAGATATCAAAAAATTACTCGATGATTGGGTCGTCTCGAAAGAACTTGAATTTTTCTATCGCGGAATTGATGTATTACCCGAAAACTGGGAAAAGTAGTAGGTTGTAGCTCCCGAACAATACTTTGAATAATTTCTTAGATTCTGCTCGAATCTGTCACCAATCTGTTATCAGACAGCTAATAGATTGCTTACTGTATCGGTTTGAATAGTAGTGCGATTTCGGGAGCCGCCTGGTTTGCGTTTTTTCCTCTTCATTTATGCACACATAGACGATCGGTTTATTTCTGTGAAAACGTTCAACTGTGGGGCTAACAATTCCCCAAACTGCCGATCGCGTTTCTTTTCAGCTAAAAGCGGGAGCTCTATCTTTGTCTTGGGAACTACGGCAGAAGAGAGTGAGAAATAAACTCTCACGTAGTATCCGCATGTGTGAAACTGGCCGGCTTCAAAACAAACTGAACACCTGCGTCCACAGAGTCGCGAGTTTCCTCGCGATTCCCGACGAAGTTAATGTCTTTAATCATTGACATTAATATATTTTTGTCACCGTCTTATATTAGCCTTTTAGCACCATAGTTGTCCTATCTTATAAATAACTTTGCCTATCGGATCACTGTATGAGTGTATAAAATTAGCCTACCTTTTTGGAAAAATATCATTTTCAAAGTTGTTCTAAATTATTCTACTTTTGTACCACATTGTTTTAAGACGATATTATTTTATTCTAAACGGTTCTTGAATAAAACGGAAAAACCATTTTTTTCGCTGGCCTCCTTTTTCGAAAATCAAACATTTTTTTATCGTTATAAATTGTTCTGGTTGGGAGGGATTCTAGAGGAAAATTCGAAAAATGTACAGATACTATATATTCAGTAGACAAAGCTATTTATAAGGTGGAAACGCTATAATGATAAAAGATTAATATAAGACAATAATGTATTGATTTCAATGATCAAGGACATTATTTAAAACGAGAATCGTGAGGAAGATCGCGGCTTGGACATACGTGTTCAATTTGTTTTGAAGCAGGAACATCGGCTAGGAGCGCACATGCGCGGACGCTGCCTGAGAATTTATTTCTCTCCTTTGCTGCAGTTCCCAAGACAACGACAGAGTTTTCAATCTAAGCGGAAAAAAAACGCGATTAGCATATGTGTGAAGTTAGCACCGCTATTTTGTAAATCAAGAAAAAACGAAATTGTGCCGAGTTGTGCTAAGTTTGTGGTACGTTGTGCCACAAGAAGAAATCGATTACCTCAAAAAACAAAGAGGAAAATTAAAAAATCAATTTTTTTGCAGTACCGCCATTTTGTTTTATTTTTTTTGTAAAAACAACAATTGTGCTGATTAGAATCTCGGCTACTATACGTTATGCCGTACAGATTATAACTCTATCTCTTTCTGTTTAAGAGAGAAAAAGATAAAAATGTCCAATTTCAAATGCAATATTTATTCTTAACTTTTGAATCGTGATAGGTAATTAAATTTCCCGAGTTGTGCTGAGTTGTGCTAATCGAGTACAACGGGAAACCACTCATAAATGTGTCGGAAATTGCAGGATTTGCAAAAAAAATTGGCAAAAAATGGTGAGGATAAAATAAAAATTTAACATTTTCGAATTTTCTCTAGTTGTTCTGGGTTGTGCTAAACGAGAACAACAAATTTTATTAATGATAAAATTACCTCAGATCATTGCCGTATATAGTACGTAACGATCGTCCTTTCATTTGGGGTTTGTAAAAATTTTATTTTGCATGTACTCAAAAACGTAGGATCGCTGATGTTTATTTTTAACGCACAAATGTTCCTTATATCTCCGAATCACTGAATTACCCGTAATTCCTCAGCTTATATTCATAGAAAAGAGCAAACGTCCAGCCATTCGTAACGCGAATTTTCCTTTTCGGACTTACGCGAGTTCGGTGATGAATAGCTGGAGTGCACACTTCGCGGATTAAACAGTCGAAATTGCCACTGCAATGTCTTCCGGTAATTTCACTTTCACTGCAGCCGCACGAAAATAACGTTTCTCCGTTCTTCATTTTCAGGCAACCATCGCCGAGTTCCGGCACCACCGGCACCACCTCCACAGTGTCGTCGACAATTGGTGAGGGCGATGCGACCCAAAGCGTTAACATGTACCCGATGGGTGTCGCAACGTCCACCGCTACGGCGACAGCAATACCGGTAACGACGGCGACCTCGGCGACAGCACCGATGTCGTCGACGGCCACTTCCAGCACCGGAAGCCAGACTGGTATCTCCAGAAGCGTTTCCGTGCCGAATGCGCCGCGTCCGGTCATTCAGATCAGCAGCTCTTCGGCAAGCACCTCGGCGACGCAACGACCAAGATTAAGGAGGAACTTCAGCCGCACCGAGGCTATCCGGAAGTGAGTATGCGAGTCGGCACTTCTAACATTTTTGTTAATTTCGAAGCTTCGAATGCTAATTCGAACTAGAATTGTAGATATAAATAGAAAAACATTATTATGAACACATGGATTTGATTGACTATCTGAATCACATGATATAGGCACCATTTTCTTTAGCGACCGCGATGAACAGTACATGATGTGCCCATAACTTATAATATTTTTGTTATATAGTCTTACAAGGAGAGGACACTGTGAATGTCTCATCAATTTTGATCTTCTTGCACGAATAGACATAAAAAAATAAATAGACCTATATCCAATGCACTTTCTAAATAATAGTTTTAAATAATAGACTTGTAACAGTAGTAAGAAGATCGAGGCTATGTCGAGCAACTTACTTTTTATTTTTTCATGTATATAAATACATATTTGGCATATATTTTGACACGCTTAAACATTTATCATATATAAATAAATAAGAAATTTTTAACATATTTATTTTATTTATAGATTATTAAATGAAATGTCCGATTTTGAAGCAAAAGTTTGGTTCATTATATATCAAATAAGAAACAGAATTAATCAAAACATGCGCCTCAATTATCGAAAGATTATCACAGTTTTGTTATCATAACGATAGCTTGTTTTTCACGGCAGCGAAGAAGCCTGAAAAGCGTGTCGCAATGAAATCGTGAAAGGTGTTTTCTACAACTTGTTGAGAATTTAATATTTTTCCTCGTAAGAAGTAGTTTAATGTTTGGAAGAAATTAGTTGGTGCGAGGTCTGATAAATATGGTGGGTAACAGAAAGTTTCCAGCTCCTGTAGTTTGAGCAGCATTGTTCGTGCGACGTTGTGTGGTCGAGCGTTGTCTTGCAAGAAGATTGGCCTGTTTCTATTGACTAATCTTGGCTGCTTAATCGCACAGTCTCTAATCATTTCGTTCAATTAGTTGCGGTAGATATCTGCTGTAATCGATTGACCAGGTTTTATGAAGCTATAGTGGATAATACCAACACTCGACCACCAAACAGATATCATTAGCTTTTTATAGTGAATATTCGGTTTCGAACTATATTTTGGCATCTTTATCCAACCATTATGCCACACTCTTGCAATTGTCGAAAAGAATCGATTTTTCATCTTACGTTGCAATAGTTACGATGTAGTCTTTATGTAGTAACAGCAAAGAAAGGCAAACTTTGAGATGATTTCTCTTCTGACGCTCGTTTAGTTCGTGCAGAATCTATCTCTTTAGCTTCTTGTCGATTTGTTTCAAATGTTTTCATATTGATAGAATAATAACGTCAAATCTTGCTGCCAATTCACGCGTAATTTAAAATATATCCGTTTCCACTACAGCTTTCAGTTTGTCATAATCCACCTTGGTCTCAGGTCGTCCAAGTGGTTCATTTTCAAGATGAAAATCGACAGAACGGAACGTCTCTCAAACCATTGACGTACTATGCGTTCATTAGCCACGTATTCGCCAAACACGCCATTGACATTTCGAGCTGTCTGTGCTACATTGGTTTCATGACTGAAATCATTTGATTTCTTCAAATACTAAATTTGAGAGTCGATGTCTCTGACATTTCACTTTGGCATTCGTGGTACTTTTTTTTTGAATATACATCATCACTCTTTCAAACGCACTTTTTAATTTGTGACTTTCGAACTGTCTTTTTCAGATCAATTTTTGTGAAACCATGGATAAAAATTCGTGTTATTTTGGAATATGAATTCCGTCATGGAACCAATACAGTGCAGACAGTTCTAAATATCAACAACGTATTTGACGAGGATGTGGCTAATGAACGCACAACACGTCAATGATTCAAGAAGTTCCGTTATGATGATTTTAATCTTGAAAATAAAGTATATGGGTGACCTGAGACCAAGGTAGATAATGATGAGCTGAAAACTGTAGTGGAAACGGATACATATTAAACTACGCGTAAATTAATAGCAAGGTTCGACGTTACTATTCTAACATTATTAAACCATTTGAAACAAATCGACAAGAAACTGGAGTAAATAAGTTCCGCATGAATTAGACGAGAGCGACCGTAGCATAGCGCACTGATCTATTATATCAGCGGTCCCGGGTTCGATCCCGGCAGAAACCAAGATATTTACGCTTGCATCTCCTCTCGGAAGGCAATGGCAAACCACCGAAAGTATCCTTGCCTAGCATAATCTCTCCAAAAACGTTGCCGTTCGGAACCGACATTAAACCACAGGTCCTATATGCTTTGGATATAATCAACGTGCGCACCACAGGCATATGAGAGTGGGTCGCCTACGCTTGGACACAGGTATGGCACTCGAAGAAGATGAATTAAACGAGCGTTTTCTCAGAAGAAAAACCTTCTCGAAGCTTGCCTTTCTTTATTGTCACGGCATAAAGACGAATCATTTCTACATCGTATGATGAAAAGTTACGTGTGATGAAAAATGGATTCTTTTCGACAATCGCAAACGTGTTCCGCACAATGGTTGGATAAAGATGAAGTGCCAAAACACTGTCCGAAACCGAATATTTCCTAAAAAACTCATAACTGTCTGATGACCCAATACTGGTATTATCCGTTACAGCTTTATAAAACCTGATCAATCAATCACAGCGGATATCTATTGTAATCGATTGGATGAAATGATAGAGGAAGCTTGCGATTAAGCAAGCATTAAGCCGAAATTGGTCAATAGAATCAGGTCAATTCTCTTGCAAGGCGACGTTCGACCAAATATCGCACAAACAACGTTGCTCAAACTACAAGAGCTGGATTTGGAAACTCTCTATTATCCACCATATTCACTAGATCTTGCATCAATTGACTACCACTTCTTCCAGGCATTCGATCACTTTCTGCAAAGGAAAATATTCAATTCTCAACAAGCTGTGTAAAACGCTTTTTGCGATTTCATTATCACTCGCTTTCTAGGTTTCTTTGCTGCCGGCATAAATGAGCTACCGTTAACGGGTCATATACGTTTCTCGGCTAAGAAAAATCGATTTTCTTGCTTATTTTAAAAGATACATATTTTAGAAATAATTTTTCTTGCTTATTTTAAAAGATATATATTTTAAAAATATTTTAAGACCAGAGCGATATTCGAATTATTGACGAAGTTACAGGTGTATGAATGAAATTAATCCGGTCGCTCCGCAGGTTAGATTTCTAGCTGGCCACTTGTAAGGTGCATTTAAATATTGTCGTCTAAATTGAAGAAAAGAAGAGAGGGAAGACTATTATATTATTTGTATGAAGGGTCTGTATCGCGTATCACATCTACACTCGAATGAAAGCCTAAATGCTCTTATATGGAAGATTTTCCCGAAGACATATAGCGGCTCTATTGTTAAAATCGTCACATATATCACATCAGCAATGTTCAATGAAGGCCACGTGTCTGTGTTGACAATTTTACAAACTTTAAATTGCACTATTGGCAATGCGCAGCATACTACATGTGCCAAGAGCACAGTGTATTTCAACGGGCTAGCTTCGAGCGCAGGAAGCAACGAGAGAGGGAAGAATTTTTCATAGACTCGCTTTTCATCAGATAATATTGCAGTCAGTGGAGGATCATACTGCAGAAGGCGAATAATTTTATGGTACCGCAGGCATCGCTGATTAAGTTTAAATAAAAATTTTTCATTTTACCACACTTAAAGCTCTAAAGCTCTTCTAAAACTATAAATGCGTTTTTCTCAAAACAGCATTTTTCAGAACGGTGGGAATAATAACTGCTTAACCGTTCATCCGATTAATTGAATTTTTGGTATACATATTCTAAATTAGATTCATTATCATTTCACGAGGGCTTCTTTGAGTAAATAAATTATTTCCGAATAGCAATAAAAAATAGACGATTTTTTGGTGAAAATCATGACTCTCTTTTTCAAATTGTGACTATTTTCGTAATTTTTTTCCAAAAATCCCCCTCGTCACACTACGATTCTAAAAAATGGTAAAAAATAAAAAAAATTTTGTTTTAGATAAAAATTGCGAATTGAATCATGCTCACCGTTTGACACGATCAAAAACAACACGTTCTATGCACTGGACGCAGACATCATGTTTTTATAAATTTGTTATTTTAGTTTCCTGCTTCTTAACACATTGCGTACCGAAAGACTATTGGTCAACAGATCCTTTGAAATGTACCCCTATATTTCCACAGACAATGAGTCGCCATAGATTTGAGCAAATATGGACATTCTGGCATTTCAATGATAACGCCAAAATGGACAGTCGCTCGGGGAGACTTTTCAAGATCCAACCTGTGTTGGATTATTTCCTGCATAAATTTTGAACAATATACAAACCAAAGCAACAGTTGTTTTTGAACGAGGGAATGATGGTGAAAGGACAAATGTCACGCATGGGCTTTACAACAACCTGAACAGTGATAAAGACAGACGAACATTGTCTGCACCGTAGTGTTACGGTCCTACTAAGAGCTCCACTAGCCATATAGGAATATTACATGTAAAATATATAAAATCTCGTTATGTATTTTCTTCACAGTTACATCAGACGCGAGACAGCGCAGTTTTTCGGGGTCGATGAGGAATCGGAGGCCCTAGAGAAGCAGAGATGGCTGGACCGACGGCGGCGCATGGCGTCAAGGAAGTACGGCGCGTTGGTAGCAGAACATAAGCCACCAGATCCGGATATCACCAAGGACGTACCGGACGCAACTGAGATACCAGAAGTGAGTGCCATTAAAGTGTTTCGTAAGTGTACATGTTCTTGTGCTATCGTGATTGCGTTCGTAATACATGATTATCGAGAAATCAACACACCTTGTTATTATTAACATTGTGTTATTGCGTAAATTTTGACGTTCCGTTCGATTGGAGGAATAGTAATATACACAGTAATATCTGTTTAATCAACTGTTCCGCAATTTCGCTTTAATTATTTTTCGAGGAAATTAGGAAAATTATTAGAGAAATTCTTGATGAACGACGTGTTTCCAAAAATACTTGCAGGGTGTTACGCTCAGACGATGGCAACAACCAGTACGAAGGAAAGATTCTGTTGCGAGGATAACGCTGTCAGGTCTCCATTACATCATCGAGGTGAGTCATTATTCGATTATGTATCTTCTATCTTCCAACTTTTCATCTTGAGCCTTTATTAATAACTTCCTTACTTTTATGATATGTCATATAGGTTCCTCTCGCTATATACATATTCGATAAATTACTTACTTGCAAAGCAACAACGAGCGCGATAGAGTGGGAAATGGAATTATATCAGAAGTTACTTATCTATTAAATTAATTACTTGTATGATTGATTACTTGAAATGCAATTTTGATTGATTAATCGTTCGATTTGTCCAACTTCTTCGGAATATATTTAGGAGTGAAATGTCCCAAAACGGTTTTATAATCGATGTTTACCTCCTTAATTATATCATAGCTGCTCACATGATGATTTTTTTAATTTTTTTGGAGATTTTATCAACATTTTTCACAATAGGCCGACTAGAACGATATGTATCTTTGACGTCAAAGTTTCCATTTTGAAATCAGCAAAACCAATTCACTGTTGTTTGTTTAGTTAGAACATCTTCTCCATAAATACAACAAATTTTTTCTTGGCTTCTTGTGCAGCGTTTTTCCCTTTTTTATAATAAAAAAAAGTAAAATTTGTCGAAAATATTCCTGATTTTCACTCATTTTCAAATTTGATTGAATGCACCAATTTTGTTCAAATCTACGATGAATCTATTTTAAAATGTTCTATGAAATGGCACCTTATCAATAATATATAATCTATTATGTCATAAAATAATGCTATGTCAAAAATTGACCAGATCTTCACCTATCGGCAATTTATAAGAAGATTTTTTCCTAACCCAATATATAAAGGTTTAATTTATTTAATTCAATTCTTCCGTGGTGTATGTACGTCGGTGCTAACATTTTTATATTCTTCCTCGTGCGACGAATTTCGTAACTACTTTCCACGAGAAATTTATCTGTACGCCGTTCACTGATACCGAAACTATGAAAAAATTAATATTCCCGCGAGTATTATCTGACGATCGTCATGTCGCATGTCGCGTTTCTTTCAATGACACCATTAAATCAAAGTTGAATCGAGACTCTTCATCTTTGCTTTTAGTCGCTAACAAAACAACGTTCTCGCGAGCGTTCACATTTGCGCCCGGAATCGCGCAGTTTTCCGCCGAGCGTGGTCGCGTACCTGTCGAGGTCAGAAGGGGTGTCGTATCACGGCAGCGGCCAAGACGAGGAGGAATCTTTCTTTGAAAGGCCACCACCACCCCCACCACCCCTGCCACCACCGCTATCGTCGCAGCAGTCGCAAACGCAGATTGATCAAACTCCTAGTGGGCTGGTTAAGGATGAAGAAGTCGAAACCAAGGTTGCGGACATCCTCGAAACCGAGCAAGACCACGAAGGAATCAGTTCTGAGGAATTGGTCGGGTAAGTATTATGACGGTAGAATTTTTTAGAGATATAACTGCAAAGAGAATATTGTAGCTTTTTCTTATATAAATTCCCCATAATATTACTATGTTTTCAAGTATTTGCAAGAATAGACTGTCGGTAGAGTTTATCTTGCTAAAGATTATAGCAAATTTTTGAACAATAGATTTCAATCCTTAAAATATTCATAACAATTAAGGGGACACGACAATTTTTTAAAAAATAAGTAAATGCAGCTGTAACTTTATCGAAGTTATCAAAATCTAAATGTAAAAGAATTTTAAAGCATAATATCTCTACTTTCTAATGATCTCTATCGTTTAAGCTATTTTAATTTTGATAATTTTCACATATCAAAAACAAGCTAAACAAAATGGAAAATTCTCTTATCATGTTTAGGTGTGTCACAAACGCAAAAAAAATCTGAGAAAATGTTTTATCTTTCCATATAAAAGATTGAACTTTTTCTACAATTTACTTTTTGAATAAAATTTCTTTATAATTTCTTGTTTTAGAGTTATCAACGGTTTAAAAAGTTGTTATTTTGACTTGGAATGCTCATAACACGATTAAAAATTATCATACAGAAATTCGGAAAATAGATTCTTAAAGTTGAAACTTTCTTTATTAAATGGCATAATTTTCGACATTTTCTTAAAGATTTGTGGACGCATTATTAATTGGTGAAAATATCGTAAAAATTAATAATTTTCACTTTTTCGTTCAGATCCAAAAAAATAATTGTATAGAATAACATAAAATTTTTATCTTGACAATTTTTTGAAGCATTAATTACATTGAGTTAGAAAAAAATCACTGCATAGCTATTTTCTTCATTGTATTCACTATGATTTTATAGGGCAAAACACACGACAAATTGTGAAATTATTATTATTATATACCAGGTGTAGAAGTTTGAAACCGGAATTTTTTTGTAAAAATTACACGTCTGTTGTTTGAAAATGATAAAAAATATTTTATTCAAAATAATGTCCATTGCTATTTATACATTTTTCCCACCTCTCCGGCAGTTTATGAATGCCACGCCAAAAAAACATTTCTTCTTTTGAAGCGAACCAGCTATCGAGCCATTTTCGTACATTTTCATACGAATTGAAGCGTTGTTCAGCGAGAGCGTGTCCCATTGATGCGAATAGATGATAATCGGACGGAGCCAAGTCTGGAGAATAAGCCGCATGCGTTAGTATTTCCCAACTGAACGCCTCGATCGTTTCCCTGACCCGTTTTGCTGTGTGTGATGGGGCATTATCATGGAGCAAAATGACTTTGTGTTGCCTTTTTCCATATTCCGGTCGTTTTTCACGCGATTTAAATCGATCGTTTGCTGTTAGTAGCGATCAGTGTTAACGGTTTCACCAGGTTTTAACAGCTCATAATAGATTACACCCTTCTGATCCCACCAAACACAGAGCATTGTCTTCTTTCCAAAGCGATTGCAGTGGATGTCGATGGTTCGCCTGGATTCACCCATGATTTCTGACGCTTAGGATTCTCAAAATATATCCATTTCTCATCACCTGTCATGATACGATGGACTTTCTTTTGTATCTGTCGAGCAGCATTTCACAAGTGGTTTTACGATTTTCTTGCTGTCTTTCATTCAGTTCATGCGGAACCCATTTTCCCACTTTCTGAATCATGGCTTTCAAACGAATTGAGACAGCTTTCTGCGTCACATTCAATTCATCCTCCATCTTCTTATTGAGTTTGAATATCATCTTCATCCAATAAGGCTTGCAATTCGTTGTCTGCGAACTTTTTCGGTGGCTTTCCACGCTCTTCGTTTCTCACGTCAAAATCACCACTTTTGAATTTTTTTGAACCACTCGAAACGCTGTGTTTTACCAAGAGCATGTTCACCGTAAGCTTCGACAAGCATTCGATGCGTTTTCTTCAAATGATAACAAAAAACCAATGCTGTGCGCAAATCGTAGTTCGTAGGCACAAAACTCGACATGTTTAAGGTTATAGAAAAATATACCGGTGTATGGGTGTTGTGTGTTGAAATTCTTCGTCAGCTGTTAGAGGGAGATGATGGCGCTGCAGAAGCGGTCTTACGGTCCCTAAACTGATGGCTAGCACCATCTATAGGGAAATTCCGGTTTCATACTTCTATACCTGGTATATTATTCATAATTCGTGATTTTAATTGCAAAAAGTTTTTGTGAAATGGAATGGAAATCATCGGAAGTCAATTTTTTACTATGGGCGTCGTAATCTTTCAATAACAAAATATTAGACACTTATCGTGTGTAGGTTTGCACAACAGAAAAATGACAGGACAACGATCGACGGACAAATTAGACGACCCCGTCAGATCACGAGGGACCATTACACTTCCAGGTAAGAATTTATACAGCCGATTCTTTTAGCTAGGTTCTTCGGTAGAAAATCATCTGTTACAGCGTTTAAAGTTTTTAAGTTTTTAAAGCATTTAGATATCGCACTATAACTAGTGTAAAGGTTGCTTATGAAACTAATCACTACACTTAAAATCGTGCAACTCAACTGTCATTGAAACAAAGAGTTAACGAGAAGTAATTAATGGCGTTTTAATTTATATTAATGAATCTGAAAGCGACTTGAACATCTGTGTAAGCCAATAATAATGTCCCAGTAGATGAAAGTGAAAAAGTTGTCTGTGGAAATCAGAGAGTTAATTACATTTATTTTGTTAAGTGAAAAATTAGCTTTAATTATTATCTTCTTCATTTGAGTTTCGAGCTTAATTCGCGAGAATTTTCTTTGTTTGTCTGTTGATCGAAACGCCGTTGACAGTCATATAGCCAACAGATTACGTTCGATTTGGTAGATCGCGTTCGTAGTTTGGGCATTCGGGCGATTTGCAAAATAAATTAGCTACCGACTGAGACAAACCCGCAAACATGTACAACGAAAAAGAGATTACAGAAAGACAAGTTGGAGCAGGTCAAAGTACGATGCGTCTCCGGCGGAGAGTACGCGAGTATCACACAATGAAGGGGTGACTCTCAGGAAGGAGTTAGCTGGCGCCACGAGAATCTCCCCGAACACAATAGATCGCGTCTTCGACAACAGTAATCGACGGCAATACGGGATGGGCATCGTCGGTCGTTTCTTCGGGTATGTTACATTTCTCACACGCATATATATATATATATATTTGACCGCGTCAAAAAACAAAACAACGATGAAACAGAAGAAGTCGGCGCGTTGTAGAATCGCGTTATATGATGGCGTTATATTATCCTTATATCGAGATTTTTAATTAAATTGACACCTTATGTGTGTATATATATACTTACGAGGCACAATGAGATTAAGAGAAGTAGTACATAACAAACGAATCACATTAAAGAAATCAAAGGATTTGGAACAAATGATTAAAGTAAAATCTCTCGTTTTGCCACACTACTGTAGGCGATCTTTCCGGAAGAGTGTTGCGCGCAAGCCAGACATAAAGAAGCAATTAGACGACTTCGAGGATCATCGGCCGTATTTCACATATTGGATCACCACCGTGCAAGTGTTGATTCTCATAATATCGTTGGCGTGCTACGGATTCGGTCCTGTTGGGATGGATCTCAATCATCGGTCGGGGCTGGTGAGTGAACGCGATGGATTAAGCTGACTCCTACAATCATTTACAATCATTATTGCAAACTGTTAATTCAAATTACGTGTTATAATATCATAGTTTATATAATTATAGTATATATAATAATTATAATATATGTAATAAATAGCAGAAGGGGCGGTCTAAAATGAAATGAAAAATGAAGTTATTTCAAAGAAAGCATTTCTTTTTCAGAAGAAAATCTTCTTGGGAAGAACTTTAACTGGATTTTTTCAAATAAATCCTCAATAAATGTTGCATATATCTGAGACATATTTTCAACTGCACCCAGGTTCTCGTAACGAGTCTGTCGTTGCAACAAGTCGACTATCAGGAACCAGCAAATTTCTGGCTAGGTCCGAGAGCTGCAGACCTAATTCACTTGGGTGCTAAGTTCGCGCCGTGTATGCGCCGGGATATTAAAATCTTGAAGGAAATCGACATCTGGCGAGAAAGAGAACGAGACACCGCCTGCTGCATCAGGAATGATGACTCAGGCTGTGTCCAATCCAGTAAAGCCGACTGCTCGGTGAGTTTTGATAATATAATTACAATACCACTTAAATGTAATATTCTTCTTATACACACATACTTGTAATTTCCAACTTATATATTCTGTGTTGGCTTTCTTCACGGCTATATTTCATGTTAACGTACTCTTCTTTCATGCGCTCCAAAAGGTCCGAGGATTAAGATCTACCGTTACGGTAAATTGTTACGATATTTTTGCTGGGCTTTTTTGTCTCAATTTGTTCAAGATATTTCACATATGAATTTGAGGGATCGAATTCTCAGGAATCTTCTCATTATTCGTGTGGCTAATCGCGACTCGAATTTTGTAGAATACAATCTCGACCTGGAAAAAGTGGGGACCCGGCGACAGTGGACCTGGTGGTCGCATCAGCGGATCAGTTTGCGGCTTGGATCCGAAGTTTTGTGACGCTCCGGCAAGTATTGCCCCTTACGAGTGGCCGGACGACATTACAAAGTGGCCGATCTGCCGAAAAACTAATCCTTTCAACCAACGCTTCAGGTAAAAAACTTTCATTCATATATGTATGTCCGCGTATGTACGTTCGATGAAATTCCGCGAAATGAAAGTAATGAAATGTCACATAAACAAGCTGTTCGTAAATTAAAGCAATATTCCTTGTTAATGAAGATTAACGAAGAACAAGATATTCGCTAAGAAAAAGAAAGTTATGTTAATTCTTTTATGTTAATGAACGAAATTCTTATTTTATAGACTTGAACCATTAGATTCTTAGTCGAATGGAGAAAGATAATCGTTTGTTTAATAAAATGCGAAAATTTTTCAACAGCAAAAACGGAAGTCAACGTATCAACGGCAACTTCCCTATTGGTCGCTATAAGGATAAAATGGCGGAACACATGGTGTGCGAAGTGATAGGTCATCCGTGTTGCATCGGGATTCACGGAATGTGTCGGATCACCACGAAGGAATATTGCGACTTTGTCCACGGTTACTTTCATGAGGAAGCGTCCCTGTGCTCGCAGGTGGAATGTTTGCACGACGTCTGTGGGATGATACCGTTTCTGCATCCGGAATGGCCGGACCAGTTTTACAGACTTTTCACTACCACTTTCCTTCACGCCGGGTAATAACTCATAAATGAAGAACTATTATATTTATCTCGATCGTTATATTTATATTAAAAAATTAGATCAATTTTTTTTATTGAATAAGCAAGTTCTTTTTTATATTTAAGTTTTTCTTGACAATTAAGCTCTTTTTAACAATTGATTTTTTTTCGGTTAAACAGCGTTATTATCTAGTCACTAAGTTACTTTTTGTCATTTTTTCCTAACAAATCATTAAAAAATTCACAATTGTCCTGCAATTGTGAGTGGGTCATTACAATTACTATTTTTCCTGAGCTACTATTAAATTTGTAAAATATAAGCATTCTATATATATTTTTGCCGCGTCTTTCTTAATAACTGCTCCGAAAGCATTTGTTCATGCACTACTTATTCATGCCCTTGGTCTTTCCTTGTTATAAACTTTCAAACTTGCCATGAAAAGAACTCGCTATATATTAAGTTATCCAAAAATAAACCTAAGAAGGTAAGAGTAAATGTTACTTTTTTACTTAAATGGTTTTAGTTACTCTCAGAATTTAACAAAAATGTCTTTTATCATCAAAATTTCACTATTTTAATGTCTGAGAAGTCACTTTTTGCCACTTTTTCTGCTAAAAAGTCACTATTTCACTTTTTTTGTTCCGGTAACTGGATAACAGCGCTTATTAACTAATCAAAGATTCTAATATTTTATCAATAAAATAAATTAAGGATCTATTAAAGCCTATGAAGCTAGGGGATCTCAGTACAAGAAAAAGAAGATAAACTAAAACTTCCTCATAAATCAATAATTATTAAATATCAATAACTACCCGAGAAAAAAAGATCACATATGAAATTTGCCTATATATGACCATGTATAATCATATTTGTCCGGAACAAAAAAATACTATTGTATATGAATTATATATAAATACAATCGAAGTAAATGTTTCTGGCTACTTGTGCTTCTGATAATACATGATATCGACAATTAATTAAATGACATATCGTTTTTTTTGTACAGATATATATGATCATATATATGACCATACATATAGACAAAATTCATATATGATTTTATATAATTATAAACATATATAATTATTTTTTTCTGAATACTATTCCAGTAAACAAATTGTGCACAGATTGTGCGCAAATTGGTAGCAAATTTAATCAGAATCCCACGCCAAACTTGTGTCCGCATTTAGCTCGTATTTAGACGACAGAGCCACAAGCAATCTGAGTAGATTAATAGCAAAAACCACACAGAGCCTACCGCTAAATTGCACGCAGTAAGATCTATTTGGTTCCTGTCACCAATCTGCCATCAGATCACTATAGATTCTACTCGGTTTCTCCCATCAATCTGCTCGGATTGTCTATCAACAGGCTTTGTCGTATTTCTGATAGCAATTTAACAATATAATCTGATAGATCATGTGTTAGATGTATTGCCTATCATCAAAAATTTGTAGCAGACTCTATTCAAGATCTGTTTACGCAAGTTTGGCTAAGTGGAATGTGACTTCATTATTGACTATCTTCTGTTGAACTTAAGTTTCTTCTCTTCTATTTAATTTGTTCTTTTCTTGTTACTCTATTGAAAATGATCCAAATAAGGAGATCAAAATATTTAAATATTATTAAATACTGTAATTATTGATATACTGAGAAAATTATAAATTAAGTATTACCTTTAAGGTTGTTTTCTTTCATTGCACTGACAAGGGGCGGTTATATAATGGCTAAAAAGTTAGATGATGATTTTATGCTCATATCGTAAAGCACCTTTCAAAAAGTAATTTATGAAGTGCATTTGTTAAGATAACGCCTATTACCGGATGTTCTGGCCTAGAAAGTTGGCTGCCCATGAAGTCTACAGAATCCATCGCAGGGCACCAACACACACGTTCAAACGCGCACACACTGTCGAATCATAAGAATGGACCACTAGTTAAAAGAGAGAGCCCACCCATACACGAGTATATATATATTATAAATTATATTAATTATAAATTATATTAATTATAAATTATATTAAATATATATTTATAATTAATTACAATCTGTACAATTAATGTGTTGGTTATCAAGCAAGCAGTATTTGAAACAATAATATTGTGTACAGTATGCACATATAAAATTGGAGAACTGCTCACAGTTATGATGTGAGCAGATGAAAAATTTGTCAAGTGAAAAATAAAATTGCGGGGATTTGAATGGTCCCGGCCGCTCATCCAGGTAACTCGCCTTGTAGAAGACATACCTGACCACGTCACGAAACGCTTAACATTAGAAATGAGCCAATGCTTGCAATTTGAAGTAATTATCTCGTTTTCGAATTCCATCCATATTTCAAGGAAATCCAATATAGGCCGTATAAATTGCTTGTGTGGCCGTAAACGTCGAGAGGTTGGATCATACCAGTGGTTTTTTCGAGAATTAACAGCCTCTTTGTCTTCCAAACTTGGCAAAGATTTCCTCGAACAGTTTGGTGTTTTTGTTAGAACTCCAACTATTGGCAAGCAAAAGCCATTTTGTTATGCCTTTGCTAATTAAATATTAGAACAGTAAGTCCAGATAGATCTTCGAGTCCGCGGTCATCGCAGTGGTCCTCACATACGCTTTGATGATGTTGGGAATGACGGGTTTAATGATCTCGGGACATTTGCCGTTCGCCTTTTAGAATTGCAAATAGAGAAAGCCCATTACTGGTTCGAAGCATCGATGTTGCCCATCACTATGTAGGAGTGCGTGGTTACATTCTTCGAACACATAGTTACAAAAATTTGCTTGGCAAAAACTTTGGAAGGTCAAAATACGGTAGCTGTGGAGTTTCTTATCGAATGATCAATATATGTTGATCACTTCATGAAGCTCATGATTCTTCTCTCTGATAATCTTCTTGACCAGACCGACAAATTGAACTGCTTCGGCTTCCAACTCCAATCGTTTTTTCCAAAAGTTTTCGTCAACTTTATATGTGATACTTTGGAGCACAATATTGTACTTTGACTTGAAGTTTAGCAGCCAACCACAAGATGCCTTCATGTTGAGGTTAATTTTGTTCTTAGCTTGAATGCCCCACTTTCTGATTTCAAGATCATTGACAATCCCGTGCTTGTTTCTTTTCTCATAGAAAAGCTTGTACACTTGCAAATTGACGCTTCTGGCCGATCCATAACCATTGTCTTCAATCCTTTCGGCCTACTTGCGAAGATGTTTCAATTCATCGCCGACTATAGGAAATTGGGACTTGATATTGATTTCGGTCTTCTTTTGTTTTCTCAATGTTTTGATATATTCGCGGAATGATGAGCTGACTGTAATCGTCCTGTTCAAAAGTAGGTTTTTTTCCTATTTCCATCGAGGGAAGTTCTCCATGAAAACGCGAGGTTTCTTTAGCTCGGCTTCAGAAATACAGTCAGGATCATTGTGGATGTCAACAACATCGTCGTCCTTTTTGTTATCCTTGAACGTCGTCAGATTCGGCAGGGTTAACTGGTTCGGAAACGTAGAGATCGATGCTTGCGTCGAAGTCGACGTCCAGTATATCGATGCTGCCGAGGATCAAATTTTGATTGACGAGCTGTTTGTTAAGTTGCTCCACCATCATTTCGCAATAATTAAAATGGTGAGACTCGGATGTGACGATGTTTCCTAGTTTTTCTATCAATATCTTATGCCTGCGGCAAAACAGAACGATAACATTGACGATACCGATGAATTGAGGTATGCTCTCGCTTTTTGTATGAAGGGTGGAATCGTTGAAATCAGATGGTAATTCTGAAAAGATCTGTTTTTCTAACTCTGAAAAAAGCTGTTCGCTGAACTGCGAGGTTCGATACCATAGGGCATATTCAGGAAAGGCATAAAGATGCAGAAATAATACAAATATGTGTGTAAATAGCCTCTCGACGTATACTATTTCCGGCCGTACAAACAATTTATGCGGCATATATCGAATTCCCTTGAAATGTGTGATGGAATTGGAAACGAGAAAATTACTTCAAATTGCAAGCATTGGCTTACTTAAAATTCCAAGTGTCAGTTTTTCGTGACGTGGTCAGGTCATGCTTTCTACAAGACGGATTACTTGCAACCGGGACCATTCAATACCCCGGCCTAATTTTGCTTTTCACTTGACAAATTTTCCATCTGCTCAAATCATAACTGTGAACAGATTTTATATGTACATACTGTACACAATATTATTGTTTCAAATATTGCTTGCTTGATAACCAACACATTAATTGTACAGATTGTAATTAATTATAAATATATATATATATATATATATATATATATATATATACGTATATGGAAGGGTTCTCTCTTTTAACTCATGGTCCATTCTCATGATTTGACTGCGTGCACATGTTGAACGTGTGCTCTGGCGGTGGATTCTGTAGACTTTACAGGCAACCAACTTTCCTGGCCCAAAAATTTGGTAATAGGTGTTACATTAGCAAACGCATTTCATATGTTACTTTTTGAAGAGTACTTTATGATATAAGCATAAAACTATTACCTAACTTTTTAGCCACTATATAACCGTCCTTTGTGAAACACGTGTGTAGATTCTAATTGACCTTTTTCTTTTCAGTTAATTTAATTATCTCAATAAGTTAATTACCACAAATACATAAAAATTTGAATTTATTTCAAGGAAAGTATAAATCTTTCAATTTATATCTATCTCCATAAAAATTCATTAAGACAAACCTGTCAATTCACTCATTTCGATAAACTGATCGAGGAATTAAACGAAATTTGTTCATCCTACTAAATCGGTGTTGCAGAATCGTCCATTTGGCAATTACGTTGCTGATTCAGTACTTTCTGATGAGGGATTTGGAGAAACTGACAGGATCTTTGCGCATTGCTTTCATTTATTTTATCGGGGCTCTCGCTGGGAATCTGGCTAGCGCAATTTTCGTCCCTTACAGGGCTGAGGTGAGTTTTTTACCATATAACATTATCAATAATGATTTTCTCGAAGAGTATACATCGACTTATTTATTTAAAAAATGTTATCCTCTCGGAAATAACAAGAACTCCTCATATTTCAAAGTAAAACTTTTGACACGTTTGCCGACGATGGTTATCATATTTCCTATATTTACAGGTTGGTCCGGCCGGCGCACATTTCGCGCTCTTGGCTACGTTAGTAGTAGAAGTACTTCATTGTTGGCCTATGCTGAAGCATCCACGACGCGCACTGTCCAAGCTGATTCTAATTTTGTTGGGGTTGCTCGTGTTAGGCATTCTGCCGTGGGTAGACAACTATGCGCACCTATTTGGCTTCATCTTTGGTTTTTTGGCGGCTTACGCGCTGATGCCATTCATCTCATTCGGCCATTATGACCGCAGACGGAAGATTCTACTGATCTGGGTTTGTTTGATCCTAATCGTGGGCCTGTTCGCGCTGCTGCTCGCACTCTTCTACAACGTACCGGTATACGAGTGTGAGGTATGCAAGCTATTCAACTGCGTACCATTTACCCGCGACTTCTGCGCTTCCCAAAACATCAATTTCAAGCGGGAGGAACCAGTATGACACATGGGGCCGCGGTTCATAGACGAGCGCGAAGTTGTTCCGTTTGGCCCCCGACCTCACGCTCTTCATCATCGCGCACACCACCACAATCCATCATTAGCATTCGCTGTGCTCGTCCTAGGGATGCTTCCCCTCGATTCCTGAAGTTGCAAAATTATTTAAAGCTAATTCAGCAATTTCTTCATTCGAAGGCTGTCCGAAACTGGAGATCTTCTAATTCACTGGAATCTGACACCATAAATTACGTAAAACTAGAGGGAGATTTTCTGAGAATTATTAGGTATCCAAAGGAAATGTCTTGAACCTTTGAAAAAGCGGAGAAGAAAAGAGGAGATCTTGGAGGGAATTAAGATAAAAATTAAAAAAGGACTTTTTGCTTCTAAAGTAGTTGAGAGAAATATTTTCTTTCATTTTAATTATGAGAGTCGATGTCCTGGAAATATCAGGAGAAAAGAAATTTGTAAGAAAAATGTTTTGGATTTCTGAAGAAGAAATAAATCGGAAATATATAATTTCTTACGCCTTTCCAATAAAATTAATGATGAGGTCGAAGAAAGAGGAAGAAAATGAAAGAAGTAATCAAAGAGAAAGAGAGAGACTGAGAATATTGAACGATCCGAATCATCAAGCTTCCAAAATCATCCAAGTATACGTTAACCAGGATACAATATCGCGGGATATAAGCTTCCAGAACAATCCCTCTACTCGATGACCGAGCCACCGAGTGATGAAATCGGAATCAGATCACCGAAATTTCGCCAAACCGAAGTTCGATCCCTTCGCGGAATTTGTCGAGCTCAGAATATCGGAATCAACGTTCTCGTATCGTTCGTATTGTCCGAATGAGTATTACCAGGATGCGATCGAGGGGTATGGGGGTTTGATAGTGCCTGGATCGAGCGGGTGAAGGTCGTAGATCCCGACCGACATTTTCGCTACTGCCAACGAACGTCAGAGAGGAACTCGTGTTCGTCGACGCACGACGATGCCTTAACATTATTAAGTCCCAGCGTAGTGGATGGTTCCCGACGTGAAGTGGTCGGGACTCGGCGGACCCCGAGGGCGCCCAGGACTCTGAATCACCGACGGAGTGTAAATATACAGGTCTTTAGTGTCCCGCGACGACGATGGATGGATGCTCTATGGATTATCTCGATATTCGTGAATCCTCACAGAGAATCTTCCATGGAATTTCGCGCGCAATATCCATTTCCTCGAGATGTTAATAGAAAAGTGGACAAAGAAAAGAATGAAGATGAACATGAAAATAGAAATAAACACGAGGAGAAAAGGGCGAGGATAAGAGGAAGGATAAGGAAGGGCAAATGTAAATAGCATCGAATCTTGTTACATACCGTTATAAGAGCGATTTTAGTAAGCTAACTTTAGGGAGAACCTTGAAAGTGCGCACGTCTTTCGTCTCTGCACGATATAGTACCCCGCACCTCCGACATCCGGAATTATTGTCTGTGATGGCTTGATCTTGGAGATATTTTTCGTAGCACCGCCAACGGCCGCGACAACGTTGGCCGCGAGCCTTCCTGTAGAGACGATCCGGGAATGATTACTGTCTAGACACCAATCGATAATTTGATCGGTAGAATATGAAAAATGATTCTGAAGAAAGGAAATAAAGAAGCATAGACTTGCAGCATGTATGAAAAAATTTTTCTATTTTTTTCTTAATTAAAACACATGATGCTTAAATGTAATCATCGAAAGAAAAACAACAAAATAATGCATGCAAAACGTTTCGCACAGTCGATATTTTGAGACGTAAAGCTCGCTAACTCTTCATTATCCCTTCGCGATTTACGTATCATTACTAATAGGATTAATAGTTTGACCGCGATATGAACTAGTTCGTCAATGTCTAATGAAACCATTAATTCAGTTATAATGTAACGCATATGATATTGCAGTTTGTAGCATATCCAGTCACAATGCCAATTTATATTACACCAAATGATAGTACTAATTCCGTTTAATAATTTCACTTCTCCATATTACATATTAATAACGGTCATCACAAAAGCGTGATATAAAATGCAGCACATAATAACGACAATGATATAGAGGAAACATGTGTCACAATGTTCGATCGGTATCCAGACAGTTAAATTCTTATCGAGGATAGGAAGAAGGGGGATGTCCGAGGCAGAGGAGGCGGGAGGAAAGTGTTAACGATTTAAGGAGAAACGAATCAATTTTTTATAATGGCGTGAGAGAAGGAGAAAAAGGGTGGGAGAGTAAGAGTGGCGCGAATATCAGAATTCTTAATCACAATCTCGAAATCTGTAAATATATATATCTACGAGAAGTGCGAGGGAATGCGAGGGTATGAGAGGAGAAGCAAAGGTGAAGAGCTGTACGAAACATAATACGTGAGACCATTCGACGATTTTATTCCGGGAATCGAAACCTGTATATTTTCTCAGCAGGTTTCCGTCAGACACCGAGCATGCATCCGCGAGCACTTATCGCACTTGCCACAACGGCGAAATACACATGAGATTCCTTTGTATATTTGTGTAACATGGAAAATCAAACTCGCTGAGAAATAATGCCGGTTTCAATTCTTGCTTTATTCAATTTATTGTATACGCATATACACACACATATGGATATCACAATAATCGTTTTTTATGTTTTTACAGCAGCTGCGTTGAATTAATGCAAACTATAGATTTTATGAATCCATGGATTCATACTCCACCATGATTCTTTCACAGAAAATATATTATTCAGTTTCACCGAGAATTAATTTGAATGATACGAAAGAGAGGGTGAGAGAGCATTTTCAGAAAATTCAATTCGCACAAAAACTGCTTGAAAGTAAGATAAATCATTTGTAATTTGTTGAAATAATTGAGAACTGAAATATGATTTTCATTTACATTTTTATTTATAATATTTTTCCGTATTTTTCCACATTGAGTTGTATTTATTGTCACTAATATTCTCAGAATATTTTTTTCTTTACCGACAATCTCTTCTTTCGATTCTTTCAAAATAGTATGACATTGCGATAAAATTTCCGATTTACATTTGTGACAATATCATATAGACACATCAAACGCATATGCGTGCAGGATGCGAACAAGTAACTTCCTCAAGCAGAACGCAAATTACAAGCGTCGTCACATACATACATGCATTCTGATTATCGTCATTGTTATTGCTCGCATTAAATTGAAATGACGCATTCGGAAACTTTGTGATATAAGACTTGACGATTGTATGAGGCGGAAGAAAATGAATGTATGAGAGAGAGCCTGTGTGTGTTAGTGGTGGATCAATGCCCCGCTAAATTTTTTTTCGCGTATTATACATATAAATATATAAATATAAACGTATACATATACGCGGATTAAGATGGATCGTAAATGACGAGCAGCGTATTGTTATTATTGTAAATGTGTCATATACAGATAATAGCATTCGACATACTACACACAGAAAGAGAAAAGCAGAAAGACATATACATACATATACACAAACATTATATACACATATGAATATATACATAAACACATATATACATAAACACACGTACATAAGATGGAGATAAATAAATTGAGAACCTTCGATATTTTTTCCATACCGATTACGGCGAGGTGGAATGTCTCACCTCCCCCCCTACTGTTCCCCTTGTGGAGAGAGAAGGGGACGGTTTCATCCCGGTTATGGTTATGATGTAGAAGTAAAAAATCATGAACTAATCGCGCGAAAGAGGCAATTTTATACCATTACGTAGTTGTAACTCATATATGATTACATAAGAGCGATTTTCAGTGAAGTTCATTACATGGTGTCTCGAAATTACGTAATATTTCTGAACCATGAATTGCATAATAATAATCTACTTAAGAAAAGTAACATTTGTTCAGGTAACTTGAATAGTATTCTAGTCAACAATTTAATAATCTCAATGCTTTTCTCTCCTCAAAATCACTAAAATAAAATCAATCTCATTTAAAATATTTTTAAAATCACATAAGTATTTTGTATCAAAGTTTTAATGTGAATTTCATGAAAAATCTCACGCTCGCGAAATTAAAATATGCATCATTTTGCGAGACATTTTGTATAATTAAATATCTAGTAATCGTTAGATCAATAGATGTTAAAATATTAATTCTATATGTATCTTCCTTTTTTTTAAACGTGTTTATATTTAATATTTTAAAAATATTTTTTCAAAGATTTTTTCACATAATTTGATTTTTTCAAATATTGTAAAAAAATTTTAGAAATATTGAAGTGTCGAAGTTATTCGTATTGATGATACAACATAACAAACGTAATCTGATATATAATTTTAATATTGAACATTAAAAATTACATATTAAAAAACGCATTATATGCTACTGAATTTTCCCAGCAAATATTAACTAACAATAACATAACATCAATGTTATAATTTCCCACTCAACGTTGTAACTTACATAACACACACGTTATATTGCATTTACATCGCTGAGTGGAAAATTATAACATTGATATTATATTAGTGTTTGTTGGTATTTGCTAGGTGTTTGTTACAATAATGTTACAATAACTCTATCAATAATTTTTTGCTCACTGGATATTATTGTTCTGAACTACTAAAAATCTTCACAAAAATCTCATGTTCTATATATTTTACATTTGTTACATTCCGTTATATATATTTTTCATGCATTTTCGAATTTCCAAATTTATGTTATAATTGTTTTATGCTTTACTGGGGGACATCTCAATACTCCAAAGATTTCCAATTGAGCGATTAGTTTGCGATTTTTTGCGATGCAACGAGCCACTGCGTCGCGCGCGCGCAACCCTTGTAAATAAATGTATGCGTCGAAAATGGACCAAGGATCTACATAGTGCAGCTCGTGCGTGTAAAATTGATCGGCAGGTAGGATCGTAAGTAAAGCTACAATTAATCCTAATTATTATAAAGAAAACCAACGAAAAAATAAGCGAATTTATAAGAACTCTTGGAGTTATTCCTTCTTGCGAAACTAAATCTCCGAAATCGCCGAAATCAAGAATTGAATTAGATTCTACATAAAACAAACTGATATCCAACTGTTGTAAGCAAAATTTTTCATTATTTTATCATGGTCTATTATAAATTTAATTTCAATATTCACAAAATCCAAAAAAGTTTCGAGAGATTTGCATCTCAAGTGGAGGAGACATACTAATATGAAGAATTTCGCATTGTGTTCCTACCGAACATTGTTGTTGGAGATTAGATAGAGATTTGATCTTGCGCAAAGAATTTTTATGTGAGCCTTTTCTTAATTCGCTTATTTCTTACGATGGAAATAAAACAAGCGCTGGCGCGACGACATTGACTCGTGCAATTATTTAATTAAGGCCCTGAGTACCCCATTTTATATAAATATTATACATATGCATATATATATACGACAATTAAGAACATTCCACCACAGCCGCGCGGTATTATTTTTCTGTATCCCTGTATCTATAAAAACGCGATATGAGAATTAAGGACGAACTTTTAAGGGAATATACGACCATATTGATTATCGATCGATCGACATTACTATTATTATTTATTGTTGTTGTTGTTATTATTATTATTATTATCATTATTATTATCATCATTATTATCATCATCGTCATCATATCATCATTATCACTATTATTATGATTGTCATTGTTAATATGATTACAATAATTACCCCGCCCTTAATTTCCACTAGTCATTGGTAAGCCCTTCGATTACAATTATTATTAATAATCATAACAATGCATTGTATTTGTCGCTGTTATATACATACACATATAAATATATAAATATATAAATATAAATATATATATATATATACACATATATATATATATATATATATCTCTCTCGAATGATATATTAATTTAATAACAATAAAGAAAAACGTGAAACACGTGATCTGGTTTGTATATGGAACCTTTCTTTAACTATAATATTTAACTGGCACAATTTGATTTTACGTAAATCTTTCTCTCTCTTTATCTTTTTTAATCCAGGGCCGACGTGCGCCAAGATATATTCTATATTTTGAAAATTGGATGGTCATTCGTCGATCACTTTATGATATGTTTACTCATAATAAAGCCCCACAACGAGGCCTATCACAAAATATTCCGGGGTTTCGATCATATGAGTTGAATACATATCTCTTTCAATATCCCATAACTTACTAAATTCAATTCGCACACCTTGTCCTAATTTCTGAACGATCGACATAACGACCACAACTTTGTATCTGAAAATAACATTGAAATGAAATCGAATGATCATTCGAGTAAGAAATAGTCTTCTAATATTTAAAATCGTGTAGCAAAAAGTTTTGTATGCATTTGCAAAGATTAAATATATTGTTAAGTGATTCAGAGATGTGTGCTCACTGTAGTTAAAATATAAATATTTCCAGTAAATATCAAATAATAGTAAATTACATCTCAATGTTGTAATTTCCCATAACAATGTAAGTGCAATATAACACGTATTGTATGTATATAAATATAAATATAAATATAAATATATATATATATATATAATAGTTATATTATTGAGAAATTATAATATTTATGTATTGTTACTGATATTTGATGTTTTTACTGGGTTATATATCTTAGAAATACATAATTTAATTATATTTAATTCTATTCAAATATTCAAATTACATTAATTACAATAATTTCTTTTATATATTAGTTAAATTGATAAAATATTAGCTCTCCAAAAATATTTTGTGTGTATGTGTGTGTATATGCGCGCACGCTTATTATGGTCAAATATTATTATCGTATCTATTGAATTGGTTAATTAATCACCGTTCATAAAACTTCTTGTAAATTTGATCGCGCACTTCTGCTGACATTTTTTGGCAGATTTGCATGCACATTTGAGAATGATACTTTGTGCCAACTAAATAATTCTGCATCACATCGATCAAGATTTTGTCGACAAGTTCGCCATTAAATTTTCTAATAGGTTCAAGTTGGTAAGTGTTTTGATATCTTGGAATCTAAAATGAATAATATTTTCATGAGTTCAATTTAAACTGCAAGTGCATATTATATCTTTCTTCAAATTTGCGAATCACTTTTGTAATTTATAAGTTCTTGTTGTTGTAGATTTTTGTAAATTATAACGTATAAATTATTTTTATCTAAGAAGCTTTGTTTAATTTCAGTTTTGAAATACCTTGATGCCACCCTTGCCTATACGAAAAGACACACTACCCCTATGTAATGAGGATGCGTTGTTGATATATGTTTTTGATAAAGCAGATTTACTGCTTGATGTTTTTAAGGATCGTTGTGATACTAGAAAATATATAAAAATTTAATAAATTATATTGTAAATTATTATTATTATTATCATTATTGGTATTAATAAGGTTATTACAATTTTTATAATCTTTTATTTTGCTAATAATTATACATATTTGAGACTTACTCATGTTTATTGCGGAGATTACTTCACATAAATGTGTATAAAATTAAAAGGAAGTTGTTTTAATAACTTTATAAATTATATATCAAATGTCGATCAACATGATATTCAAAAATTCTTCTTGGTCATTAATCGCTATGAAATTAGCGCATTTGTATTTTATCTATCATGGCTACCAAATCCAACATTTACAGAGTATTCAAATGGTTAATTATTCAATAATAGTCACACAATTTTTAAGGATATTAAAATCAAATTGTTACGCATGTGCTCTTTTAACCATTATTTTTGTTCTGATAACTAGCATTAAAATATGCACTGCCCTAACATCACAGATATATTATATTGAAGATATTATTAGAAATAATGTGCAAGAAAGAGAAAGAGAGAGAAAGAGAGAGAGAGAGAGAGAGAGAGAAAGAGGGAGAGAGAGAGAGAGGAGTACGAAGATTCCTATGTATTGGAATTTATGGTTATCCGGGCACCTAAGATTTGAAATCCGAATCTGAAACTTCAAATTCTCTTTATTCAGGTTATTCGCAGATTTTTTTAAATACAATTGACGTGTCGGGTCCGAATCTCAATTCGCGGCGAAATTGATAATCTTTAATCTCCTATGTCACTATTTTAACCTGAAGCAATTGCCGAGAATTCATATCGATCTATTCATATTATTTATTGTTAAATGTTCGAGAAAAATCTAGGTTGCTACTCTGGCCAATTCCACCGCGAATTGAAATCCAGATTCGAATTCAATACGTCAACTGTTATAGCTTCTGCTCACAGGACGCGGCAACGCTTGCCACGCGGCGAAAGTTCACGCGGTAGCCAATCAACATGCCGTTTTTCGGTAAGAATTAGAAGTTGATTGGCTACGCGCAAACTTCCGTCGCGTGGCAAGCGTTGCCGCGTCTTGTGGGCACAAGCCATTAGTATATCTCAAAAAATCCGCGGATAACCTGAATTAGTCTCTTACAGAAATTTAATTACTAAGGAAGTTATAGTGATTAAATACTGGCAGTATTTCAAGAATTATTTGACCAATAAGGTCACCAACTGATGAAACCAACGGAATTGATTAATCACATTAGCTAAACTGGTCAATGCAATTGGTCAATTCCGTTAAGTTAATCAGACGGTTAAGTTAATTGGAGTTGGTGCCAGTGCCCTTAATCATTGGTTAATATATTTCAAATTATATACATAAAAAGATTGTATGTATATTTTTATTGATATTAATAATAAAATAAAAGTAATCAAAAAAGAAAAAAAAAACGAACGAATATATAGATTCAGGGCAGGTTAACTATTCGCCCTACTCGCAGGATCTAGCCCCAGCAACTTCTCCCTTTTCCCAAAACTAAAGACAGGCTTAAAGGGACCCGTTTCGAGGATATGAAATCCATGAAGAACAACGTGACAGCGAGATTCTAAAGGTCATTCAGAACGGCGAGTATTCCAGCGCCTTCCAGGTATTGTATGAGCATTACCAAACGTGTATACAGAAAGGAGTGTATGCTGAAAATTGGAAAATAAAATTTTATTTATCTACAAAATTCAACTTTTCATAGGATTAGTCCCGGAACTTTTTGAATGTGTATGCACTATATATATATATATATATATATATATATATATATAGAGAGAGAGAGAGAGAGAGAGAGAGAGAGGGGGGAGACGAAATACAATACTAAAAGGGAGCGATTCCCTTACGAACGTTCACGCGACTTCTCACAAAACGATGCTTCTAAATCTCATAGATATCTCATCAACAACTAATATACATCTTAAGCCACTGACAGGCCACGAGTAGATGACGATTACAGTGAGAAATTATAAATAACGACACGAAAAGTTCAACTCAAAGAGAATAAAACTAGAAATAGCATTATATATTGTGACGTGATCATTAACGAGCGTCCGTCACAAGGTCCGAATTTCCCAGAAAGGAATTATTTTCTCGATATTGCGCGTAAAACAGAAGCACAAGTGCGAAATTTTCGGTTTTTTGCACGCGCTACCGACAGAGCGGTCCAACACACCTAGGCTTTCTCTAAGTGATAATGAGCGTCTCGAGCGGAAGAAAATCACGCACAAAGGAACATTAGAGGACAGCCGATGCTCGTCGAAGAACATTGGCGAGGAGAGAAGACTGACAGTACCAATCAGTAGCGACAGCCCAAAGCCAATAAAGGAAGCTCCCGCGGGAAAAGGACCCCGCTAATTGGCGTCGTGGCTCGCACGAGTTGCGGATCCCCGAAAAATCCGCTAGGGGCGTCCGAGGAATCCTCCCGGATATCGACCGCGGATCGACACTTGATCTCGGAGATAGACGTGTGGCGCTTCAGCTCAGGTCGAACACACACACATACAAACCTGCGTAAGCAACTATACAGCCGCGCCGTCTGTTCCTAGTCACGCCGGAAGGCGCGCTGCAATGACTTAGTCTTCTAGAGCACCTCTCTCTGCTACGCACGGCAGGACACGTTCTCGCTGCTGTCTAAGACATGTGCTTTTTGTCTCTAGTAAATTCATTTGTTGTCAATCAGTGAGTGGAGTCTATCACCCTGCCGTTCCCTTGCCAAAATCTTTTCGCTCAACACGCGTATTTATTAAGGAAGGCGCGGGTTTTGCGCGTCTCCCTTTAGACGTAAGCGGGCGCGATTCAGCGAACGAGCGAGCGATAGTGTCCTATATATATTGTCACGTCCTGAACTGTCCGCGACATGCGTAGCGAGAGCGGCTCCGCCACGCTTAACAGCTAATTAAGCCGAGAGGGAAGGTTTTACGCGTGAAGTAGAATCGCGGAATAAATAGGATTATTAAGAAAAGAAACAAGAACAACATAAAATGAAAAAGTAATATAATTTATTATAGTTAAGGACCTTAATAAACATCGCAACCTATCACATGATTCTAATGTACGATCGCGAAAACGACTTTCCTAGTCACTTCGTTGTTTCTCGTCAAAAGGAATAGAAAAAGAAGGAAAACATGAAACCGCTATTAATTATGTATTTTTTATTTAACATCAAAAGTAATGACACTTGGGTTGCATTAGTATCAGGTTGCAATGTAATTCCATGTGTGTACGTGTACATGTGAGAGAATGGAACTTGTAGAATAATAGCAAAAAGGAATCGCGTTAATTGTCAATCAAAAGATAAATAGCTAGCGGAGCGGTGTGGTAAATATGCATCACCTCCGTGAATGTGTGTATATATACGTGTAACCAGTGTCTTTCTTTTTATAGGCATGTAAATGACGCGTACATGTAGTACACGTGCGTGTATGTGCACATGAGATGTTTATTAAAACTTAAGAATAAAGAGGAAAAAAAAGTGTACGATAGACCCGAGATGAAAAGGCAGTTCCTTGCGGTGAGGAGCGTCTTTTAACATCAATGAGTCACCGTCATTCGCGCGCGATCTATTTATTCGTCTTCAATTTATTTAAAATATGTACAATATTAATAAAACACCGTTCATCTTCTTCTCTCACTCACTTTTTTCTTCTTTTCTTAATTTTTTTTCTGTCTCCTCCTGGTTTTAGATTTTTGTGATCGTCCAATCATTCTGACGCAATTATTCGTGCGGCGGGCTGTGCGGGCGCGCGGAGTTGTGTCGTCGTCTCGTAGAATGTACCTTATTATTATTATTATTATTATTATTATTATTACTATTATTAGACGCTAAAAGAGACTGGTGAGAAAACGAAGAATATGCGTTGCGTGTCACGCGTGTGTATGTACGTGTATTATCTTACGATCGCGGAGGAAATTATGACTTTATTTTCTCCGAAAAAACGGAGAACACGAAAAGAACGTCAGCCGCATCGATTCTATATTCTGTTCTTTTGAAAACACGCGGAGAAGAGAAGCAAAACAAGTGCGATATCCATCTGTAAACAGGATCGAAGTAATTCCCTCTTCTTTTCGTTCTTTGTTTGTTGATGTTCTCTCTCTCTCTCTCTCTCTCAATTTATCTATCTATCTTTCACTCTCTTCTTCACATTACGAAGATACGTAATAACTTGACATTGACTTACATTTGATTCCATCACGTATCCCGTCAACGAGATGATGCCGTTCCGCGTCCCGCTCAGTTCACCGTGAAAAGATTTTATGTGGTCTTAGACCGAACTTCTCTCTGTCTAGCGTATGTTTCCTCTTTTCCTTTCTGCCACTTCTTCTCGACTATCTTTCCTTCTGTTAATTCGTCAAGCGTTTAAAACATTTGTGTTTTAACTATTTTGCTTTCCATCTTTTTTCCTTCTTCTTTTTTTATTCGCTTATACGTACTTTGTTTTTTCTTCAACAACACGATCTAGACTAAACCATGTATAATAATTACATCTAATAATATCTTATTGTAACATGTATTGTTATTATTATTTATCATTATTTATTTATTTTATCACTATTATATTAATAATAGTTTAAATTATTAGCCTAAAATAAAGAGGCGACGCACAACGGCAAAGCATTTTTTTGGGCTCCTACGGCCCCCCGGGCACGGAACACCCTGTCGACAATACGGATTTTCTTCGAAACTTCCAAGATATTCATTGTATATTTCTCTCTCTTTCACTCTTCATCCGCATCTCTTTATTCCGTACATTTTACACACGCATCCGATCCGGAAACACGACAATAATAATGGATACTGAAAATAATAATGGATAGGTGCAAAATATCCTTAATCTTATCATCTTTGTCATAATATCGAGCAATTGATCGATCGATTGAAATGTTAAATTCGAGTTCTGTATATTACCAAGATAAAATAATTCAACAAGAACTGTGTTAGTGAGTGCGCCACAGTCGTCAACTTTTTGCGATAACAACTACATCTATAACTTGTTGCGATTTCCCGGATTCCCTACTTGGACTCGAACGTCACCTTCATGACTATTTCTTTTCTCACATCCGTGACTTGACTCGAGGGAAGCGCTCCTTCGTCGTTCTCTTCCGTTCTCTTCACGAGTGACACTCCTCGAGGGATGTCG